GATTCAAACAGACTTTTACCTAGGTGTCATTTACACTGAAAGCATTCACATTAATGAATGCTTGATAAAGGAAGCATGAAAGAAAAATAAAAACGTAAGAATTCAATGATTCTCGGATATACCACATTCTCCTTTTATAAAGCTTCATAAACCATTTCACTATGCTGGAGATTGCTGCTGCCTAGGCTCAGAGTTGGCAATTAAAGGCTTCGGAATAGCAATTACTTACAGGAACATAACCTATATAAGATATAATGAGAGAAGTTGATTTTGAGTGGAAGTTGGACAGATGCCCAGAAATAAGAGTGTATGTGAAGTAAGAGTGCATGTATCAAAATCCTCTGTTATTGATTTGCCCACAATCCTCCGGTAGGAAATCACATGAGCTATATAGCTTCTTGAAAAACTCCACTTCTTCTCCAGGTTGCATTCCAGGTCCTGAAGGCTGCTCCAGTATTAGAGGACAGAGAAGAGTTCTCAGGTATCAGCCATTCCCAGAAAGGCATTCCATCTGCAGCACAGATCAGCGTTCTAACTCTAGATAGAAGACTGCAAGAAACGTAAGTGCATATAACATCGTATTTCTTATTTTCAAAGCTTGTCAATATTTGTCTAGGTTCATAATCCTCTGCTTCCCTTTAGGGTGTGCTAGAGAAGAATTCATGCAGCTTCCTAGAAAGAAAGGGAAAAGGCACGAGCTTTGATCTTGAAGTGGGTACGGGGAGCATCTCACGTGGGTATTCATATGTGGAGTTCTCTAGATGATTCTCCATGTTGATCCATCTCTGTACTCCATCCCATTATTTCAACCCTTCAAATCTACAGTCATAGGAGAAATTCGGCCTTTTCCTTATGTAAAGAGCAAGGTAACCTGCAGGCATTTCACTCAAGAGCTGAGGATTCTGAAACCTAATTTTCCTTACTTTATTTGCCTTCAGAGTTATTGTCCTTCACATACTTGCAAAGGTGCTCAAAGGAAAAGGTTATCCCAAACTGAAATAATTCTGAAGCATTACTATAAATTGACTATTTACAAAGACAGGCTTAAGGGAAAATGATAATCTGTGGTGTCAGTGAAAGCAACAGTGATGCAGGATATCCAACCCTATGATTCTAAAGACAAGGGATGAAGTAGTTTCTGGAAGGAGACCATAGGTGTAGCGACCGTTTAAGCGATAGGAGAGGATGGTCAGGCAAGTGAAGAAGAACTCATCTGTCCCACTCACCACCACAAAGGCAGAGAAGAAGTAAAGAGCAAAATAAAGGATTTATCCTAGGAAACATGGAGATAGATCCAAAATCCCTTTCCTTATTCCCTCCAGGACCCTGGTAGTGTTTCCCGGTGCCTCTAAAAACACACATGTAAAATAAAATGTCTGGGTGGGAATAGAATTTCTAGTTTTTCAAGCATTTTTCTTCAGCCCCACTGAGGCTCTGTAAGAGAGAGCATTACAGATGTGTTCACTTCTGATGTCTCTGCAGCACGGGGGAGGATTCATCCTCCTTCCCCTGAGAGAGCCCTCTTTTCTAAGTGAGTCATCTGGATCCCAATGCCATGACTACCTTGTTACGAAGAAGGTTTTGGATTTTGACATCTACTCCTATTTAACGTCTATGTATAATTTGCTCCATCCCCGTTTCATTGTCTTTTCCTTCTCTCTAGTGTTTCTTGATTGTAGGTTCTATGTGATCCATACACTGAGGGCCAGCTTGGATTTCACTTGGAAATGACTGCTCTGCTTTTGCCCTCATGTGTTTGTAATCAACAGCTCTCTGGTGCTGAGTCTATTGGTCACAGGGATGGATCCTGAGCAGCACTGCTGGGTTCAGTTCACAGTGTGCATCCAGGACAAATCCTTCAGTTTGTATCCTCCAATTCTGTCTTCAGTATAATTGAAATTCTATTCTCAATGTACAGTTCTGTCAGATGAGTCTAAGAGATAATATATCTCTCAATCACTTGTTAATACTTACTCATATCTAAATTGGACATCATGTTCCAGAAAAAAATCTGCATGAACAGTTCCTTTAAATTTCATGCCCTGTGCTTCTGGTTGCTTTCAAAGATTCCACTCGCACAGAATTGTTTATGTACAAAACAGGATGATAATTCCAGGGAGATAATATGGAGTGAATTTACATTGCACACCTCCTGTCACAGCACTTAGACGTCTTCTGTTGAATACTTGTATACTCCAAATACTTCTGTTCAGTGGCAGTACAACCTTGACCTCAGTTACACTTTCATCCTACATATCACGGGCATCTCAGTTTGAACTCAACTCCAGCCCATACCATACATTAAAATGGTTCTATATCCTCTACAAAACCAGTTTAGAAACTCAATTTATCAATGTGCATCAGGAGTCCAGCAGTTGTCTGTGTGCCTGAGGGTGCACAGAACACACACTGATGAACTGGAATGCTCTGGAAAGTCTCCTGGGCGGGATAATGATGGTGATTGTGACTTTGCTGACTGAATTTCACATACTGAGGTAATTCTTTTAAATACAGTACATTCCTCAAAAATAACTGATGAATGAAATTTTGATGCTCTTATTTTAATTTAACATTCTATTACCTTTAAGTTACCCTTTAAATTTTTTTCCATTTAATCTAAATTTTTTCCTACCATTACACTCTTCCTTTATGCATTCATTCACTGAGTTACTATGGAGAACACAGTATGTCACACACCACTTTACCCCCTGGGGAAACAGACATCCTCCATCTTTAATGGCTAATATGCTGAGCCATTTCAGGGTCACCATGACCAGCCATCATCACAACTGAACTAGTAAAAGGCCACATTCTTTTCACATCTCTATGACTTCTTCCACATCGATAGACTATTCTGGTCATGAGCATGGTCTGGTTCATCTCTGCCTTTTTACAATGCCTCATTTAGTGGTGGTTTCTGGCCCAGGACAGAATAATAACTGGGTTCACCATCCTGTGTTTGTCTCTTAGATCATTTCTTAACTGTTCTCTTCTTCAGAAAGAACTTCTGAGACATGTCCTATCCACTGGCAGGAATTTCTTGGATCAGTGTGTATGATTAGACTATAGAATGTTTGCCTGTCCTAGAGTATCCCTATTGTAGTAGAGAGAGCCCAGTGTGTATAATCCCCAGAACTGGTTTGCATCTTGGTTCCAGGACTCCCAACCATTAACTACTTCATCTCTGCAAATAATTTCATCTTCCCCTGTAACAAAAGACAGTAATTCACACATAGCAGAGGGCCCAAGAATGAGAGAGCATGCAGCTGGTGCTTAACTTTTTTTTTGCATAACTAGGAACATCTGTGGAGAGTCTCTGAACATGAATTCAACCATTCAACAGGAAGTTACAGCCATGGGTGGGAGTGTTCTGGATCTTCGCTTTGACAGGATAATACTGATCTTAGAAGTGCTGAACATTATCTTCACTGTGGTGGGGCTGGCAGGAAACGCAGTTGTGCTCTGGCTCCTGGGCTTCTGCACGCACAGGAACGTGGTCTCAGTCTACGTCCTCCACCTGGCAGGAGCTGACTTTCTCTTCCTGGGCCGCCACTTTATAGGTTCTGTGAATGACCTCGTCCATGCCTTCAATTTCATCTCTGGCACAATTTACAAGCTCTTATTCCCTTTGATTACGTGCTCCTTCATCATCACCTTGTGCATGCTTAGTGCCAGAAGCACTGAGCACTGTCTGTCCTGTGGCCCATCTGGCACAGACACTGCCACCCAAGACACATGCCAGCTGTCATATGTGCTGGGCTCTGGGCCTTGTCCTTGTTAGTGAGCATCCCTGAACATGTATACCATTACTTCTTCTTTAGCTTTTCGTGTTATCTGTGTCCTACAATGTCTTTCATCACTGCTGAATGGCTGCTCTTTTTGTTTGTGATTTTGTTTGGGTGTGGCCTGGCCTTGCTGCTCAGGAAGATCTGTGGCTCCAGGAGGCGGCGACTGACCAGGCTGTACGTGACCATCAGATAGTCATGCTGGTCATCCTCGTCGGTGTCCTCCCTTTAGGCACCTGTGTGCTTCTGTTGGTCTGGTTTACAAATAACAGAGACTTCATTTATTATGGACTTCATTGCTGTGTTCATGTCTGGTATCAACAGCACTGACAAGCCCTTCATTTACTTTTCTGTTGGCTCCTTCAAACAGAATCAGCATCAGTGGCATGAGGGAAAGTCCCTGAAGTTGATTTTCAAGAAGTCCTTAGAGAGAATAATAGAGGCGGACAAAAGTAGTCTTCCTCAGGATAGTATGCAGAGGTCAGGACTCCTTCCTTTTAATGTTTCAGTGTCTGCAATTGTTCACTCGTGGAAGTAGAACTTCTACCAGATCACAAACATGACTGTGTAAGGTTATGCCCTGAGACAGATATAGATAAATGTAGGCAGAGGTATAAATAATGGTATACCTCTATATGCTCATATACAGCCTGACCTTTTATTTATATATCATCAGCTGCTGTTTTAACAGGACAACAAGAGAACTGAGCAGTTGTAACACAGCCCATGTGCCTCTGGATTCAGTCTGTAGTAACACACACACACACACAGAGCACAATACACAATGATCAACCTAAGTTACTTGTGCACACATAATAACTCTAGGCACACACAGAAATGGTTACAAAAAGAATCATGACGAGTGCAATTTCCTGCATTCATTCTAAGCACAGCATGTGTTCCAATAACTTTCATTGCATTTTTCTTTTCATTTTGCCATTTAATACAAATCTTTCACAACTATCAGGCACATCATTCATTAATTCACTCAGTGAATTACTACTGAATACGGGATAAGCAGTAGCTGGAGCTTGGAAATGCGAATATTAAACGGCCTTCAGTCTTCAGTGAAAGATATGCTGAGGTGTTTCTAGCCCACCAGGAACAGCCATCTTTACACCTCTCATAGCAAGAAGGCCTACACTCTCCTCATGTTCCTACACCCTGATCTATCTGCCCCATTTGGCATGTACTGGTCTTAGGCACAGAGCTATCTATCAGGAATGCTTTTTTTCTTTGAATTCCTGCAATTGAGAGATCATTTTTGACCCATATTAACATCCGTACGAATCCATCATTTCTCTTTTTTTTGCCTCTTTTAAGCACTCGCTGTAAAACAGAACTCAAGCTATTTCCACAGTGGGGTCTGTCAGACTCTCCTGAGGAGGACTGTGACGGCAGCCTTCCTCAGGGAACACTGGCACCTGCGAAGCAGCAGGACCCTCCTCCTGGTCACCAGCTGTGGCTTTGGGAAGGAACACTGCCCTGCCTCACTGACGGTTCTCTGCTCTTCTCCCAGGCTCATGCCTCCGAAATACCTCAGTGATTCCTCAGTGTCCTCAACTGATTTTATTTCCTGTGGAATGTCAGGTTTCTTCAGATGAAGAGCTACTTTAGTTTACTCTCTGTGTTGCAAAAGGAGGATACTGTATGCCTATTTCTAAAAAGTATATTCTCTAAATCTTTTCTTAGAATGTTTCATTACAATGGACACAATCACCTTCACAGATAGAAAACTCCACCGATAATTGCCATAAACATGATCATTTAAAAAA